ACTCCCGAAGGAACGGGATAGTTCTAGAAAGCAGGTGGCGTGATACTAGTCACGTGACCTCGCTGACGCAACAGTATTAATGCCTTCATCTCCCTCCAAAAACATTTTATAATTAGATACTTATTTCATGTAATTTTTGTTGATGTTTTTAGTTAATGGTGTAAATTATATGACAAGTTGATCGAGGAAGTAGAATTTTACAATGTGCAGTTGTCATGCTTTTGTATTCCATTTTTATTAATTATGTCTTTGAAAACTTAAGAAATATATTACAAAAGCAGAATAATTTATTTAAATTGTTTCAATAGTCAACATCTTAATTTTGCCTTCCACCAATCCATTTATCAAAGAACTCTTAACTGCCATTACAAGGAAGTAATTTTGTTATTACAATCCTCATTAGGTCAATGAATCATTTTAAAAGTAAAACACCTTTTATATTTATTAGATTCATTTAGTACAAACCTAGTACTACTTATGAAACTGCATTTTATTTTGTTGGTTAATTTTTGAAATTGAGTTTTTTTTCCAGGAAAATTTTCAAAAGCTTAATTTCTTATTTATCCAATTTTAAATTTAAAAATGCTCAGATACTTATTTACTCACTTTCATACAGTTTTGTACTAGTTATCATATCTTAATTGTCATTATAGCAGCTTAATTCCTGATTAATTGAAACACATCCAAATTAGACATGATATGTTTAGAAGATGTGGTATGTTCAGGAAATGAGAGTAATTCTAAATCAGATAACTTGAGTCATTCTAGTGTGTGTGTAACATAATGAGACTGAACAAAGTTGGTAAAAATTAAAACAGTCTTTATGGTTTGACAAGCAAAAACACAAACAGTCACTTCTGCTAGAGTGTGCTTAGCTCTACAGCTTTTTTTCTCTTGGGATTAATTTCTTTGAAGATCTTGATGCAAGTCTGTACTTGATGATCTAATAGAACAGGACTAAGAAAGCATGCCTGAATTCAATAGGTAAACTTGGCTTTTTTTGTCTAGTCAACAGTGTCACCTCATGACCTTTGTTTTTTCACAGCATTGATCATTTGTTCCATTTAGACAGTGCCAACAAAGGATATTACAGTGCCACTTTTTTCAGTCCAAATTATATATATGTTACCACAATATCCTTTCAAGCAGAATTAACATTAGCTACTGTAAAGAACAAAGAAACCAGAATGAGGCAATCTGAATGACTTTCTGGACCACATGTTTATGCTAAAATTGCATACAATCTAAATAAACAAAAATTATTAACAACTGTATCACTGAAGTAGGTAGAAAACTTATGTCTAGTCAACAGTGTCACCTCATGACCTTTGTTTTTTCACAGCATTGATCATTTGTTCCATTTAGACAGTGCCAACAAAGGATATTACAGTGCCACTTTTTTCAGTCCAAATTATATATATGTTACCACAATATCCTTTCAAGAAGAATTAACAATAGCTACTGTAAAGAACAAAGAAACCAGAATGAATGACTTTCTGGACCACATGTTTATGCTAAAATTGCATACAATCTAAATAAACAAAAATTTTTAACAACTGTATCACTAAAGTAGGTAGAAAACTTATGCTTGCGTATCACATGTGCATGAATGTATTGCTGAAACTATACACCTTATAATAGGCTAAGCTTTTTACAATCATCTGGATCCTCAGTAAGTGTTTAATGGTAGTTACTAGGTGATTTTAGCTGAAGTGAGGATAAACCCTTAGTCAAGTTTCTTTTTCTGTGCTAGGTAAAATGCAAATTTTACATCAGACTTTCATTAGAAGTCTTTCTGTAATGTATAATAAAGCTTATGTTTTGGATTCATCATTACTTTTAAATTTAATGGACTGGTGTAAGAATTTTATATAAACGCATCAAGATGTTTATGAACATTCTGTAGTGTTAGTGTGAAACTGTTGTGCTCCTACTATTAGAATACTAGTGGAGTACATTTAGCTTATTAACAGTTTATTTCAATTGATTTTCTCATGGAATTATGCATTTTTTTTGTGTTTGCATTCAAGGATCTACACCAAAGCCTGAACCAGTTGAAAGTCTAATGACTATTATTCTGGGGATTATATGTGGCCTTGTGCTTTTAGTGCTGGTGTTTGTTTTGGTCCAGTGTGTTGTCAGGTATGGTTGCTTACATTATGCTATTTTGTGTCTAATAAGAGACAGTATATAACTAAACCCATACAGCTCAAAACCTTTAAATGTCAGTGGTTGTTTGCTTAAAAGATGTGAAGAAGCTTGATAAAACAGTATTCAACATTAGATACATTGATTAGATATTTGTTTTGAGTATTCTTATACAAAAGATAATTAGTGATGCAATTGGATATTTGGATAAATAGTTATTGTAAATACAAGGATTAAAATTTAACCCAACAGTATGGTAGGTATCTGGAATATCAAGCCAGGGCTCAAAAGTCCAAAGATTGAAAATTGGTAGGTTACACCATTCTGGTAATTCTATATGGCTGTCTTATGTCAGTTAGAAAAAAGGTCTTAGCCTGTTACTTTAATATTTTCTAACACTGACTTAACCCAAAAGTAACCAATAAAGTCCATATAGACTCCATCAGCCTTTTAAACACGTTTTTTAAAATTTTTGATGCATTAAACTGTGTTGTTTCAGGGCCTCTAGTAACACGTAAGTCACTTGCAAAAATATAAAAAATACCACCAATATTGCAGTTAATATTATTATATACTGATGGGATTCTTTATGTACTTTGCATAGAAAATGATTGATTTTACCTAATTTGCTTGGTCAGGTCTTTTTCACCAAGTGTTGTAACATGTAGAAACACATAATTACTGAATAATGTGTAATATGTGGACCCCACTGGAAATAAAATAAAAAATAACTCTGTAATATGACAGTTTATCTTTTGCTCTTGTTTTTAGTGATTAATCTTACTTATTATAGCAATAATCAAGCTGTCATTCCAGTAATGTTTTCAAAATATATATTTTTGTAATGTTTAAATAATAGTGTACTTAGTACTTACTCCTGATTGACAATGCTGTGTACAAGTCAAATGAAATTTAAACAAATTGTAGTTGTACAAAAACCTATTTACAGTAGGGTGGTCCAAAAATCTAAAAATGAAAAATTATTTTGCATGATGTTTGACTATATTCCTCTACCACTAATGATGTTTGAAATAAAAAACTGGATCGATTCATGCATATTTGGAGATGGCGCAACTTGAACACTTCAGTATCATTATATATTATAGGGAAGGACAAACGAATTAGATATTATTATTATGGTTTTTATTCAGTAACAAAAACAAAGTTGCAAAAATTTCTAGCAAACTGATTAAAATTCTTAACAGTGTTGTGCTTATCTGAATAGCATATAACTATAATAATACAACAATTTATCATATCACTTGTGACATCAAATTGTCCTTTCTGGGGATCAGAACTGCCTTTTGGTGTAGCTTAACTGTGTGGAGAAGGTATTATTTTTGATCTTCATCCTCAGTGATTGAAGAGTTAAATGCTTGAATCAGAGTAATACCTCTCTGTGCAGTCATTCACAGCTGTAATGTCATTTGGCATGTTGCTAGATTGCCAGCTCTTAATTCTAGAAACTGCATGGTACATCACCCAATTATATTGAATTATAAAATACTGTACATAATAACATAAGAAACTTATGAGATCATGCAAGTGTATCATTTTTTTGTGAACCGTTAAACAAAGGGTAATTAAGAAAATTAACTGGAGAAGTAAACTTGTGGCAAAGATCTTCAAATTTGTGCCACCCTTAAATATTGATGTGTTTAGTTCAAAATTCAGTCTTAGGTCTGTCTCCATATAAGGAATGAAAAAAATGCACTTGGAGCTTTAATTTTTACCTTTTCGTTTTTTACCATATATGCGTGGACCATCTTAATTTACAGTAATGAAAACACAAGTGATACACATACAGAAGTTACAAATAATAATTAGAGGCAACTAGATGTTGAATTTGTTAATTGTACAAAATATTATCAAAGAAATAAGTTACTAAGTTGTACAATGTACTTATGTTTTACATTATGCATTATACCCTTTCTTCATGATGCAATACAGTTTATCAATATAACAATTGTGGAATATTTTCTTAAATGTTATGTATTACTCCTCATGATTTAGCCAGTTTGTTTGGTCAGCTTTTGACCTTCTCAATTTTTACATAAGCCCATGCAGTTTCTAGAATGTTCATAACAGGACTTTGTGCAGGTCAAGCCTTGTGGTTGTGAGTATTCCATTAAACTATTTTCTTTTCTTTTTTTCCGGTCAAGATGTAGTTTCACTATTTTTTGCTGTATGGTAGGGATTACTTTATTGTTGGAAGATGAATCCCTATCTGATGAGTTGTGTTCCTGATGGAATAACATTAAAGAATCTAAATTTGCCTATACTTTTCAGCAGTGAAGAGTGCCATTGGCTTATATGTCAGCCCCTAATTGTATTAATCCCCAACTGTGCTTCACTGTAGATGTTTTGTAATATTTTGAATTTCACCCTTTCATAACTATAAAAATACATCTCATGTCAGGTGTATTCACATAATTTTTCTAAATTTGTATACAGGTGTTCTGCACATAGTTATGAAATTCTCATTAGAACCTGAATACCATGACTATGTTATTGCTCTCCTTTCTGTCATAAAAAAATTGTCATTTCTTTTGCCAAATAACTCAAATTTGAATTCATCTCTTAGAAACACAAATCTTCAGTACTGTTTGTGGTCCATTGTCCTTTTCTCAACAGTGGTTTTTGAGCAGATACATGTTCTTTGAGACCACTTCATGCCTATGTTTATATTGTTCTTGATGAAACCTTCACACCTGTATTTACAGCAAGATTGTTGGCAAGATCTGTATTCAACCATCATCTGTCCCTTTGAGAATATATCTTGAGATTCTTAACATAACTTTTGAAGTCTGGCTTTTCTACCTCAACTACTTCTATTCTTAACAGACCTGTTTCGTGTATCCTTTTCAAAGTGTTACATACAGCTGCTACTGAATCATGGAATCTTGCTGTTATTTTTTCAGAGCGTCTTTGATCAACCAACATTATGATTTCTACATGTTTGTAATGCAATATTTCAGAACTGGAATTCATTACTACAACTTCCTGCACTTTCATAGGCTTTATATATATATATATAGTTCTGGTTCTTTATGGTTGGTTGAATGACAACCAATTGCAGTGTAAACTATCAAAATGTGACTGTACTCTGGTGCAGTTCATTTCCATGAAATAAATACTTTTTTTTTTATCCTCTACCTCTCTCACTGTTTCTGTAATAATATATGATACTGCATATATATATATATATATATATATATACACACACACACACATATATTATGTGTACACATATATCTTTTTTTTGATGTATGCTAATTGAAAAAGATATTGTGTTTTCCTCTGGAAAAGTTTAAACATTTTTTTTTTTAACTCAAATATTAATATCATTGTGTTACTGATATGATAAACAACTTTATTAAAATATCTTAATATTATATACAAAGACATACTTTTTGCAAAGATATAATTCGTTTGTTTTTTGAAAATTTACATGTGGCTTATTTTGCAAGTATGTCTAAAATAGTAAAGTTTTAAGGGTACCTAGCTTTTCCCACCGAGTTATATTCTAGAAATAAAACTTTCAAATTTTCAAAAAATCTATGGAAAGAAAATCCATGGTTAGATTAATTAGGACAAGAAAAACAAGTGAAATGAATACTTAGCACACAATCCTTTTATACAGAAAACAGTTTTTTTCCAATTTTTGAGGGTTACCACCTGGTGAAATATAAGAACTTAAATATTAGTTTATAGTGACTGTACAATTACTTACTTTTAAAGTGTTTAAGTTATTGATCATTTTTATTCCCTCCTCTTTTTACAGAAGTTCTTTCATAAAGGTCTCTAATCACCCAACTACATTAGTATAAACAAGAATGATGTGATGCCTTGCCATGATTGAATCACCACAACAATTCTCACAAATAACTATATTTTCCTATTTGAAATAACATGAAGTGTTTATCATTTGCTTGAAAATCCACAATTTAAATTATCCTGATTTTGCTTGCTTACATTGCATTATTTAAGATAAATTATTTATACATGATTGTCAAAAAGCTGCATTAGAACATTAAAGGAGCAAGTATTTAATATGATTTGAAAATTGATATATTACTATTTATGTACAAAATTCATGTGTCTTGTTTGCAATTGCTCAGCTGTTTTTGATGCTTTTTTCAAGTTTTGCTTCTACTGGAAAGAACGTGCTCCCATTTTGTCTTAAGATGTGATCATTTTCTGACTTGCAGTTGAAATTGTTGCTTAAGTTTTGGTCTGTTTTATCATTGTGTAATAGAATTACTAAATTATTGCATTCTTTTCACTAAATTACACTGCCAGAGTTGTCCAACTTCTGGAAATTGTTTTATATATATAACTGGACTATTCTGGTCGATTTAAAAAACAAAAGTATATATGTAGCCAACTGGACTGTGTATTAAGCATCCTAGACGTGGTCATGGAAGGTCAGTTATAATATTTGATTATTACTCTCTGCATATTATGGCCTCTAGGAATTGACAGATTATTTACCGTTTAATTACTGTAGACATCAGAACAACAACTGAAGTGATTATCATTGACCAAACTGTACAGATTTATGTGTTTGAGTATAGGCCTACTGTTTTAGTTTGCTTTTGAGGAGTATATATATATATATACTGCTCAGCAACATATGATATTGGTGCAGTAATAAACCCAGTTGTACAGTTTTTCATAGGTACAGTCAAACAAGGCTGCTTCATGATACAGAATAATGCCAGGATGGTGACATACAACTTTGAACAGTGAATTATAAAAGTCATGTATTGACCAGCAAAAAGTGTTGATTTAAGTCCAATAGAACAGCTCTTAGACTACTTTAAACACTATGTACATAAATGCTTTAACCTACTAAGAAATGTTATTGTAAAGAAAAGTGTGATGTTACACTGGTTGAGAAATGAAACAGGATCCACATAACTCTGTCCTTTAATTTATCATAAGTATTCTTTACAGATGCAGAGACTGTATTAATGCCAGGGAGTGACCTACTCCTTTTATTAAACTTCTATTCTTGCCAAATGTGACTCTTTTCAAATAAATTTACTCAGTCTGACTCCAACTCTAAACAATTTGAATTTAGTGGTATTCATATTACACACGCTGTAACTAGTGGTATATTGTCAATGAAACTAATTCATGAATTGTGCTTCCAAAATATTCACATGTATCAGGTCGATTGTTCATTTTGTTGAGGAACATTTTAACAATGTATTTTTATGTTATTCATTGAAGCTTTGTAAATGATTTCAAATGTTTTACTGACTGTAATTTGCTGTAATTAAAATTCTTTAATCTTCCCAGAAACTAAAATTTTATAATTTTCAGGAAGAAAAATAATCACCTTTATGAGGAGGAAGGTGATCGAATAGGCTTAACAGCACTAATCCGTAGAACCATTCAAAGAAATGGCCACGTACCAAAAGGTATTAGCTAATTTTTGTTGCCCTTCAGCCACAACTCTATTACTTCTTTTCATAATAGTAGTGTTTTAAGGATGTTCTCTTTAATGTTTTCATTTTCTATCAGTTATTTATATTAGATTTTAATATGAAGCTCGATTGTTTTCACCAAGGTTTGTATGAAATAATTACAACAGAAAATTAATAATAAGTTTTCATGCTCAGGAAATCGACTCTCAAAGCTTTCCTATGTTGGACCTTTGTTGGCTGATGATCTTCCAAGTGCATATGTGGAAAAACATAAAGATAACAATCTATTTTTTCAGAAAGAATTTGAGGTGAGAAAGACAGAATAACTTTTGTATAGCCTAACTTAAGGCCAAATAATATCTTACATTTTTTAAATATAATTGTGGATAAAATAACATGAGAGACAAATATTGAATTCCAACTTTAATAAAAGTTACATATTTCAGTGAGAAATTAATGGTAAGTGTTTTAGCAATAATAACTTTTGCTGCTGTTAACTGTTCTAAATATTTTGACAGAAATCTAGAAATGTGATTTATTTTTTAGACTACACATTTGTATTGATTTCATAACATAAATAACATGCAGTCTAGTTTTACAAGTATACATTTCCAAACTTATGAAAGTGAGTAACTTTATGCTTTTCCCAAGTCCTTGCCAGAAAAATTCAAAGATAGGACAACTCATGCCTCAGACAGCCCAGAAAACCTGTGTAAAAATAGATATCCTGATGTAAAAGCTTGTGAGTAATTGATTTTCTCAAAGTATTTTTATTCTGTGCATTTCTTGTGATGATGATATAATGCTTTTCTTTTCAAATGGCTTTTGTGTTGCAACTTACTAGATCTGCATATTAATGTTACATCTTCCTAGATCTGCATATTTCATGAATATCATAGACCATTTCTAATAATTAACATCAGAATTGAAATCATACTTATGTAGATGAGGGTAAGAGTGTAGATTTGGTGTATCTGGATTTTCAGAAAGCATTTGCAAAGGTACCACATAAAAGGTTTGTATAAAAAACTTATCTCTATAGGTGTGGGGGATAAGTTAGCAAGTTGGATAGAAGAGTGGCTGGATGGAAAAAAGCAGAGGGTTGTTACAAATGAAGTTCAGTCAAACTGGATTAATGTCACAAGTGGGCTACCTCAGGACTCAGTCTTAGGATCTTTGCTCTTTTTGATTTACATCATTGACATAGACAAAGGAAT